ATGTACACTTTCACACACCTCATGCACCCCAACAATTCATACACCACTGACCTACACTAACACGTTTATTTACTTTAATAAATGGTTAAACCTTTCTTTTGTGCGGTCTCCCCATCATTGTTCCTACCCCCTGAGCTAGGATAGTAACATTTTTTTATAAATAAGGGAAGAAAAGTCTTCTAAATACTGTTTTTAAACCAGGGCAGATATTTTTGGTCTAGCCGCATGACACAGTTGGGATGTACTAATTTGTGAGATCACTTGTTAAAATATTACTAAGCCTTGAAAAGGATGCTTATAGATCCATCCTATCAGAACTAACTGAGCTGAAGCATTTTTATAAGAAAAAACTAATAATTTAATTCTCTAGATGTAGAAATGTACCAGAACATCTGCTACTGCAGCAAAAGATGGCACTATGTGAACCTCCAGAGAGAGAATGGGGTTTAGGTTTTAATGATCAGATTAAGTGGTTTGAATAAATGATCTGTAGGACAGAGGATCATGGACGGGGGATGTGCTGCAGAAAAGTGACTTATTACTGGAAACATTTGCAGAGAGCAAAGGCTGTTACCAATGTTCTTATGTCCCTGGATGTCCTCCAGCACAGCCCTCTCCTTGTGGTAGCCGTAGTCCCCTCCCTGGGAATCGGCCTGGAACTCCTTGACGGCCGCAGTGGCAGCTCTGCCGGAGCTCACCTGGTAAACAGAGGCAGAGACTCCCTGACCGAGCCGGCACTGGACGGTCCAGATCTCACCGAAGATCTCAAACAGCACCGGCCTCATGCTCTGGTCCACGCTGACACTTTCCGTGGGCTGGGCCTTGGAGCTCGGCTCGGGTGGGACGCAGTGAGCCATGGGAGGGAGAAGGAGGGGAGAGGAGGGGGAGGCAGCTAGTTGACAGGTGGGAGCAGCTGTGGGGGCATTGCGAGACAAGATCTATGTTCACCTTTAATGTGCTACAAACTAAGAAGCACCTGGACGAGTCAAGGCCAGCGAGCACACAGCGGGGCTACATCCACAGGCCTGAGCGCGGAGGAATTAGGGGGCATATTAGGAGAAGGTTGGCTGTCAAAACGAGTCAGCTGACATAAAGTTAGCCAACTTAGCTACTGCAAATAGCCCCACTAGCCACCGATTTTAAGGACAGAAACACAGCGCTCCCACGGCGCAGCGCGAATAACTTCCTCCATAATGACCGATAACTCCTCACAGGAACAAACTTTGCTTAAATCTTCCGAAAAACTAGTGTTTCAGGTCGCAGTGAAGTTTCGCTGAAGTTGTAGATTCAGGTTGTTGATACTTCCGTTGATAACTTCCGTTACTGCTGCGCTTCGGTTACTGTGCATTCTGATAGTCTGCCCCCTTCCGGCGAGGGGCTGAACTACACCCGTCAGTGTCTCAAACCATAGACATTCTACATGCATAATAGACGCCGCATCGATCGCTTTCGCCTATGGGCTCAG